ATTGGGGTGGGGGGCATAATCTGAAGACTTATAAATATCTCTTAACAAAGCCCCAGCTGAGCTGTGTCAGGGTTGTACACTTTCTTCATCTTTCCCTTACAGCTTTTCAATTTGCTTTCCAAACATTTCTTTGTAGCCGTTGGCTGGGGTGCACTTAAAAGCAGCACATAGTTAACCACAAAGAATGCTCACTGTTTTCTGTGATTTCAAATCACAGCACAATTTCCAAGCACTTCCTCAGCGAACAGCCCAGCAGCAGTTACCCTGCTGCTGAAGACTTACTTCTCATCAGAGAAATGTTTCAGTTTTAGAGACAGCCCAGGAGCAAGGCTGTGACAAATGATGACATATGTTTCAGCCTCCATTCACTAGCGATTTCTACCCCCAAAGGAAGAGTGACCAATTTTTGTGCCAATTCAACGAGCACATCCCACAATGCTGCCCTCTTCTCTAACTCACACAAACTAGGCATTCATCAACCCGGATTACTTGCCTCAAATGGGGACTCACAGTTGCTAAGTGGCTGGGTTGGGGGTGGGATTGCACTGTGTCAAAAAGGGGCAAAGTACAAGAAAAGGACATGAATCCATCAGGGAAGTGAGAGTTAATTCATTGAGACAAAATAGTGAGGTTTTCAAAAGCCAATGCAAGAGGAAAGACTGCTTCCCACCCCCACCCCTGACAATCCTGTGAAAGACAGTGCAGAAATGACCTCGGCAGCATCCCAGGGGTCATGCTACCCCAAGGGGGTGTGGCTCCACGATAGTGTATCTGATAGATTATACTGAGACCCGCTTCACTTTGCAACCACATTTCTCTTTTCTTTCCCATTTGATCGGACCTAGTTGTATACCATTTGAGGATCTGTCTCCAGACTGGGTCATAGGGTTAGAAAATGGGCAGGGCAAATTTCCATAAAGCTCATCTCTGGGTATAGTTTTAAGGGTGGACGAACCTATTGCCTTGAGGCAAGGAAATTAGAAGTTGATTTTTTTCACTCCAGAAGCCTACAAGCAAATGTCACACTGCCCTCTGGAGGTATTCTCATTGGGTCCAACTCTGAACTAGTCATTGGCAACCACTGAAAAATGTGGAGTTGTAGAGCGTCGGTAGTCTTTACTAGCAAGGGAGTGTGGAGTAGGAGAACTAACTGTTCACTAACTCCATGTGAGTGGTGTGAGAGAGTGTGTATAAAAGGGAAGAAGATGAATAAGTAAATATTGCCTCCTGATCTCAGTAGTATCAAGAGAGAGTGTATGCAGGTAGACATGTACTCAAAGGTGGTGGTAGGAAGGAGACTGTGACAAGTCAGTGGGGATGGGTGTGAAAGCAAGTGTTTTGCAAAGATGGCCACAGTCATGTATTCCATTCCCCTGTGACCTCCTTATGATGTGATCCTGAGGCGCAGTCTATGTTCCCTCTTGAATCCAGTGAGACGTGACTACAATGAAGATGACTCAAAGGCTAAGTTATAAATGGCTGCTATCCAGTTTCTACCTGGGCCCCTTCAGATGTTCACTACGCGGACCCGGCCACTCAGCTGTGGGGAAGCTGAGTGGCAACATGGAGTGGCCACACTGCCACCACAGGACCAGCTGAGGTCCCCAGCCAAGAGCTGACAGCAGATGCCAGTCAGGCAAGTGATCGAGGGAGCCTTCCAATGATTCCAACCACTCACCTTGGAGTTGACATCAAGTGAAGCAGACACCCGTCCCCACTTAGCCCCTCCTCGGATTGCAGATTTGTGAGCAAACTAAGTGTCACTGTAGCAAGCGACTATGTTTTGGGGTGTTGTGTTATACAATAGATTAAAAAAATTGGGCAAGGTCCCCTCTGGCACTGGGCATTTCTTTGCACAGAATAAGCCAGGCCTGAAGAGAAATGGAACCTGCCTCTCTGCCTTTCATAATCTGGGTTGATTCTTCACTAACCTTAGCTTTTCCCCTCTTGGCCCCAGATTAATTTGTCCATGGGCTCTTATCTCCACTAAAATTTTGTGTATATATGTGCTCTACATGGTGCTTTGTACAAACTTGAACTGTGGCCACTATTTCATAATCAGATTTTATTTACACACATCTAAATTTCCATCTTCTCTCAAAAACTCAAAAAAAGCAAAAACAAAAACAAAAGATCTGCCAATACCTGATTTGCATTCCCACACAACAGTAACTCAGTCACAAGAACTCTTTTTTCCTCCATCCTCTCTACTGTCTATTGCATTGCACCAAGACCACCACTCTTTTATCCTTGCTGTCTGACCTCTATGGGCATTTGGGTTTGTGGCATCTATTTTAACAAACAATTCTCTACCGGTTGGCTGGAATATATTCTCACACAGTTATCCAGGAGTTAATATCCTATTGAAACAAAAGGTTTAAGATAACCAGAAAAATAGAAGTCAGAATAATGACAGAAAAAAATATCTGAAGGTCAAGTTTTTAAAAATTAAATAAGAAAGGAGGACATAACATATATGAAAAAAAAAAGCCACAAGGGGATGTGACCCATATGTCAATGTAGGGTATTATGAGGCAGCCTGATGCCATCTCCAACCATTAGCAGCTGCACATACCTGGATGCCCCAGAAGCCAATGCTTTGTCTTGCAAAGTTCATTCTCACTGGGAGTAAAGTTACATCAAATCCAAAGTCTACTAATTGAATCACATACACTGTTTAAGAACCCTATTCACCTTTTGGTATAGTTGCTCAGGATATCCTTATCACACCACTGTGTGAAGACTCTCAAATTAATAGTTTCTAGAGAGAAGATTCAATTTCAAGTTTTGGAAAATCACCTAGCCTGGATGACCCAGATGGAGCTGATACATTTCTTTTTATTTTTAGTGTTTGGTGTCTTTCATTTTATTAAAGAGGTTTTCAGTCAATTTTCTTTCCATATTACTGATTAGCATAATTTTTAGTGTATTTTATATGTCCTAGAATGAGTAGGATTAAGGAAAGGGAACAGTAAAGGATGTCAGTCCACTAAGAAAATATTTATCATTTATGGATGAAAATAAGGATTTTATTTCCTGAGAAATAAAAATGGAGGGGAAAATCCTATTTCTTGCTCATTAAATATATTGGGAAAGTGACCATTTCTAAAGTTTATCTCATAGTGATTGATAGGTATTCACTGATTACTCTGAGAAAATTTCTATGGCTCAAAGTCAATCCAGAGAGCACTTAGTTAATTTTTATGCAGTCTTTATGAAGAACCACCAGCAGTGTGAAAACACTGTAGTTTAACAAAGTCTGTTTTTCTGGTGGGCCAATTATGGCATGTTGAAACAGGACTCTACTCTTCCTTTTTCATTTGATATCAAATTGGATGGGCTTTCTAGAAATATTACTCTTTGGGGGGGAAACAATATCAAGTTATCTTTTAAAGTATATCCTATTTTATGATATTACCATAGAAAGATTTTCCATGTCCCTTTCAACAAAACACGCAAGGATAGTTAAGGGGCATATTACCTTTCCCACCTTGAACAAACAAACAAACAAAAAGACTTGGCTCAATTAGGTATTTAAATAAGGTATTTTCTTCTTCATTATCAGAAGAGAGTTAAGTTATTCAGCTAGTGAGGCCTGTGTCTGGGATCAAATTCTTGGTTTACAAATTTAATGTCTGAAATGCTGCCGCAGGAGGATATTTATACATCAATGACTTCAACAAAGCACAATCCTCATAAAATTTAATTTTATTGGAGTTGTAGAATACTTATTTTGGGAGAAAAGGATTAATTTATGAAAAAAACAGACAACAGGATCGTTTTGAAGTTTTTATTACTGTCATTTTCTTTATCTCTAGCCAGAGTTAATAGCTCAGTGCCAGAATTAGGGTTAAAATTTGATGGCATCTCAGCCAGAAAGTTGTGGAAATCAAACTGAGAAGTCAGGAATAAAATTACTGACAAAGGCACTTTGGTATCCATCCGGTGCATTGATTTTAATATCATCAAAACCTTAACCCAATGCCAGAACAGCAAGGAGTTTTCATTTGGAAGCAGAGACTTTTAGCAAAGAGCAGTATTCCAGGATGAACTTTTTATAAGTAACAGAGTATATGCACCACGATGTTATGTAACTGTGGAAAAGTGTCCAAATGTTGTCAAGATCAAATAAACAAAGATGTCCAGAAAACCTAACCACCTTGTCATTCTGGTTTTCTCACAATTTTTTTCCCCCTCCTATTCATAAAGATATCTATGAACAGGCAATGTATCTACTCCGACTCTTTCAAAGCAAAACGGCAGCTGTCAAATTAACTTTGTTAGCTATTAAAATAAGTGAAAAGTTCTCCACTTCATAGAGGATTTTGCCTGGGGAACTGTAAGTTGTGCAGGTCTCTTAATGGGCATCCTAACGGGCTCCCAGAATAGCAAAGTTCCTAAATGATACTTGGGGACCTTTCATTCATCTCTCAGGTGAGGCAGCTGACCTCAGCTCCGTGCCTGGGGGCTCCAGAATAGCTATGATTTGTAAGTTCTGGGATCCTTGTCCTAGACAGCAAGACAGCAGAGTGCTTAAAGCTCACAGGTCCCTTCAACCCCGACAGCAGTCCCGTTAGGTCCCCAAAGGGTCGTTCTCCTTTCCCAGGAGGGATGAATGGGGATGCGTGGCAGGTGTGTATGTGGGGGAATCTAGTAAGTGGGACGCTGGGGACAAGAAAGTGTTCAGAGACGGAAAGCTGCCCGAGGTCACCCGTGCTCAGCTTACCCGGGCGAAAACTCGGGGCCGGGCGGTGGAAGCGGAGAGCCCAGCCGCCGGCGCCTTTGGCTCCGGGGGTGCGGGAGCCGACCACCAAGGGGAGCGCGTGCGGGGTTCGGGCTGCAGGGCTGCCGGGGGGCGGGGGGGGTGGGAGCGACGGCTTCCAGCCTCGGCCGCGGAGGACAGCCGCTGGCCCCGGGGGCGCCTGCACTCGCGTCTGCTCCGAGGGCGGGAGACGGGACGGGGCTCGGCGCGGCGGGCTCCAGAAGGGGAACGCGCTTACCTGCAGATAGGGCCGCCCGTGGGCCACGCCGCCCACGACGATGTCCGCCGCGGCCATGGCCCCGGTGGGCGAGAAGCCGAAGCCCACGTAGCCGGCGGTGCGCACCTCGAGGCGAAAGGCGAGCCGGCCGCCCCGTGGGCCCCAGCTCAGCCAGTATTTGCCCTCGGAGTCGAGGAGGGTGCGGTGCGGGAGGGCCCGGCCCAAGCCCCCCGCAGCCGCGCCGGGGAGCAGCCCCCAAAGCAGGAGCAGCGGCCAGCCGCACATCCTCGGGCGCCTCCTGCCCGCCGGCACCTGGGTCGCGCCGACAGGCAGAGCGAGGAGGCGGCTCGAGGGGCGG